CATTTTCATACTTTAATTCTTTATACATGCTTTCTTTTAGTTCTTTGAACATACTTTGAATAGCTGATTTAATGCATGTGTCTAATAAGTCAAACTCACTGCCTTTTCTAAAGAATAGTTTATAGTGGCTTATTCTTCTCCTCCATGTGATATACTTTCCTGTTTCTTTGTATGTCTTATAATCAATTGTTGAAAACCCAGTGTTTTATATATAATGTGGCACCTCTGTAAATCAGATTTTCCCCTACACAGAGATTTTTTTGTTGTGAATATTTGTTGCTTTAGCCTGCCTTGTTGTGCTCATTTCTATCAAGACTATTTATTATTTATTTTATGTTGTTGTGAATGTTTGTTGTTTTGGCTTGCCTTGTTATGCTCATTTCTATCAAGACTATTATTGATTTTATGGAGTCATGGAGTTTTTTATTTGTTAGTTTGTTTCTGAGACGGAGTCTCACTTTGTCACACTGGGTAGAGTGCTGTAGTGTTGCATTAGCTCATAGCAACCTCTAACTCTTGGGGTTGTGCTGTCCTCTTGCGTCAGGCTCCCTAGTAGTTGGGACTATAGGAACCAGCCACTACACCTGGATAGTTTTTCTATTTTTAGTAGAGACAGGGTCTTGCTCTTTCTCAGGGTGGTCTTGAACTCCTTACCTAAAGCAAGGCATCCACATCAGCCTCCCAGAATGCTAGGATTATAAGTGTGAGCCACCATTCCTGGCTGAGTCATGGATTTTTGGAGATTCTTAATCTGACTTTCCGGAGGCAGTTTTCCTGTATTGATTGATTGTTAAATAGAAAACCAATCTCGCATTCCTTGGATCATTTGTGGTTGACCATAAAATATTTCTACATATTTTATATTTCATTTGTTAAAATTTTGATTAGTTTTTTATTTATGTTTATGAGGAATATACATTGTTGCATATATGTGTATATATACATTATATATGTGATTTTTAAATTTCTATTTTTTTTCTACCTGGGTATTGCTATCCATATGGAATGAGTTGAAATGTATTACCCTCTTTAAAGTTTTCTAGAATATTGTACAGAGTGGGTATTATTTTTTTAGTTCATGTGAAGCTACATGCACCTAGAGTTTTCTCTATGAGGTTTTTAACAACAAAGTCAATTTATTTGATATAAAGCTATTCATTTTTCTACTTCTTCTTCATTTAATTTTTATAGTTTGTGTCTCTCAATAAATTTTTCCACTTCATTTAAGTTATTGAAAAGTATTGGAATAGATTTTTCATAAATTTTCCTTATTATCATTTTAATATGCACAAAATCTGTAATGATGTCACTTTTTACATTTCAGATGTTAGTATTTGTGTCTTGCTTTTATTTTTCTTCTTAATCACTCTGGTTAGAAGTTTATTGACATTATTCATCTTCTCAATGGACTAATTTTCTATTATGTCCATTTTTCTGTTTTCCTCATGGAAACAGTCTTAAAAACTCTATTTTATGTATAAATACACCTTAATTCAAAATTAAAAAAGAAAAAACAACACATCTACTAGTCCACATCAATTTGGAGGTAAAAATCAGCCTCAACAATATGTTACAGAAGAATATATCTAGACTGGATAGGTTTTCTCTCAAATTTTAGTAGTCTTAGTTTACTTCTGTCTGACTGGGTTAGGTATCTTCCCAAATGTGGTTGTTTTACAAAACTCCAAATTCATCATTTCCCCATCTGTGGAACTAGATTTTTTTTTTTCCTGTAAAATAGTTGTTTTGTTTCAAAATATTATGGTGGTATAAATATTTTTGGTTACATGTGCAGGCAGAATGGGGACCAAAGACCGCATTTTTGGCAAGGAAAAACATCTCCAGAAAAAGGGGAAAACAGGTGGAATAAAACTGAACTGAACAAGGTGGAATAAAAATAGGTTAGCTAGCTTACTTTTAAATTAGCTGCTAAATTCCTTATCTGAGCAAGGTGGAATAAAAATAGGTTAGCTAGCTTACTTTTAAATTAGCTGCTAAATTCCTTATCTGAGCAGTTCCTGCTTGTCCTAGAAGCCTGACCTGTAGGGGCTGCAGCTTGCAAACACTCCTTCTGGGTCTATGAATACTCTGAAGAAACAATGGCCACAGAGGAAGCTGCATGCAAGGCCTGGCAAGAAACATTAACTAGGCCGTTTCCTGCTGAGTCAACAAAGCAAATGCTCATTGTGGAAATTTGTATTATGGCTAGTGCAGACATCAAGGGGACAGCTGGAGCCCGGAAATATGGTCAGGAGAGTTTGTGTATCCTTATAACAGAGGAAGACTTCTCTGGGTTGGAGATGAGAGGAAAGTTCCTCTTTCCCACTGATTCTTCTGAGAAGACTGACACCTCCAGTGGTGCTTTACTCCACAGTGAATTAGTAAGGATTAACCCTACTGTGTGTGATTTGTGTATATGACCACAGACAGGAGGTTGCCCCCACACAAGGCTCAGGTTTTGTATTTCTCAAGGATGCTCAGACCCTTAAAGTTAATGATTATAGAAACAATAGGAGCTGACATACTTACTCAGAGAAACTGCTGTTTTTCTTCTCTCCCTCAGCTTACCCTCTGGACTAATGAAGAAATAGCCTTTAATAAAAGTTAAGTGGAACAAACACGTGGGGCCTTTTGTTGGAACCCCACTAACAGGCTATGGCCTGTGTTTCTCACCCTTGAAAACTCTATTCTGCATGTCCTGTCTCTTTGTCTCTCACTGCTTCTGACTTGACTTTTCTTCAGTTGAAAGATTCCAGCTCTACAAGTCTTACAGGACCCTGCCCCCAGGGTGAGACCCCAGCAACATGGATCATTTTTATAATGCTTGAGTCATGGTTATAAGTGCGCCCTTCACCCAGAGGGTATTCACTGTACCCATTAGGTAGGTTTATTTGTTTACTTCTTTTTTTAAATTTAGGGTTATTGTCAGGGTACAAACAACCAGTTTACAATTTTTTAATTTGTTAGGTAGAGTCCTTACACCCAAAACATGTGCCATATATCCATACCTTGTGCCCTTAGGGTGGGAGCACACCAGCGCCCTCTCCTCTCCCTGTTCCCTTATTCTCCATTCCCCTAAATTGAATGGAATTAAGTTTTTCTCCTATGTGGGAGTGTGTAAGATTGTCTACTGGCTGCATAATAAAATTGAGTATCCTAGAAACATGCTTCTCCATTCTTGTGATACTTTACTAAGAAGAATGTATTCCAACTCCATCCAGCTTAATCCAAAAGATATAAAGTCACTATCTTTTTGTATGACTATAAGTACTCCATGGTATACATATGCCACAGCTCGTTAATCCATTCCTGAGTTGATGGGCATTTAGGCTGTTTCCACATCTTGGCGATTATAAATTAAGCTGCAATAAACTTTCTAGTGCAAATGTCTTCATGATAAAATGATTTTTTTTCTTCTTCTTTTGCTTATATGCCTACTAGTGGGATTATGGGGTCAAATGGGAGGTCTAATTTGAGTTCACTGAGGATTCTCCATACATCTTTCCAAAGAGGCTATATTAATTTGCAGTCCCACCAACAGCATAAAAGTGGCCCTGTCTCTCCACATCTGTGCCAGTATCTGCAACTCTGGGACTTTGTAATGTGAGCTAACTTAACTTAACTGGGGTTAAGTGATATCTCAGGGTGGTTTTGATTTGCATTTCTCTGATGGTTAGGGATGATGAGCATTTTTTCACATGTTTCATAGCCATTCATCTGTCTTCCTCAGAGAAGGTTCTGTTCATGTCTCTTGCCCAGTCATAGATGGGATTGTTTGCTCATTTTTTGTTGTTTGAGTGCTCTACAGATTCTAGTTATCAACTCCTTCATCAGATTTGTAATATGCAAATATCTTTTCCCACTCTGAAGGATGTCTATTTGCTCTAATTGTTATGTCCTTAGCTGTGCAGAAGCTTTTCAGTTTAATTAAGTCCTATTTGTTTACTTTTGCTGTTGTGATTGCCACATAAGTCTGCTTCATAAAATCTTTCCCCCTCTCCCACAGGGAAAAGCTTTCTTCTAAGATTTTTATCATTTCATGTCTTATATTTAAATATTTTATCCATCTTTAGTCAATTCTTGTAAGTGGTGAAAGGTGTGGGTCCAATTTCAGTTTTTTACAAGTGGTTATCCAGTTCTCCCAACACTATTTATTGAATAGGGATTCTTTTCCCTAGCATATACTTTTGTTTGGTTTATCAAAGATCAGATGGCCATAAGAGGCTGGTTTTATCTCTACATTTTATATTTGGTTCCATATGTCTATGTCTATATTTTTGTGTAAATTTCATGTTGGTTTGATTACTGTGGACTTGTAATATAACTAAAAATCTGGTAGAGTGATGCCTCTGGTGTTGTTTTTAGTACTAAGAATTACCTTGGCTACATCAAACTTCTTCTGGTTTCATATAAAACAAAGAACTATTTTTTTCCAGTTCTTTGAAGTATGATGTTGTCAGTTTGCACTGAATCTATAGATTGCTTTGTGTAGGATAGACATTTTAATAATGCTGATTCTTCCTGGCCAAGAGCATAGTAGGTTCTTCCATTTGTTGATATGTTCTGCTATTTCTTTTCTTAGGGTTCTCTAATTCTCTTTGTAGAGTTCCTTCACTTGTTTTGTTAGTTATATTCCTAAGTCTATAGCTTCATTTTCTTTGAAGCTACTGTGAAGGGAATTGCATTGTTGATTAGCTTCTCAACTTGGCTGTTATTGGCATATACAAAGGCTACTGATTTGTGGACACTGATTTTGTATCCTGAGACATTACTGTACTGCTCAATTACTTTCAGGAGTCTTGTGGTTGAGTCTTTGGGGTTATCTACGTATATGATAATATCATCAGCAAAGAGCAAGAGATTGACCTCCTCTGCCCCCATTTGAATGCTCTTTATATCCTTCTCTCACCTGATTGTATTGGCTAGAAATTCCAGCCATTGTTGAATAGTAGTGGTGACAGAGGACATCCTTGTCTGGTGCCTGTTTTTTTTTTTTTTGAATTCAGGGAACTTTATTGATGTTACATGACAAGGTGGGGCTCCCTAGGCCCCTCCTGTTCTTTAGGGGGTCTGGGTGGAAACTGTGTTGAAGGGAGATTCTCAGTGAGGTGGGGGACTGAGTAGGCAGGGGCACCCCAGCAGCTAAGGGCCTTTCTCTTCCTCTCGTGCTCTGGCTGGGGCTGGTGGTCTGGGGGTTCTTACTCCTTGGAGGCCATGTGGGCCATAAGATCCACCACCCTGTTGCTGTAGCCAAATTCATTATCATACCAGGCAATGAGTTTGACAAAGTGGTCATTGAGGGCAATGCCAGCCCCAGCATCAAAGGTGGAAGAATGGCTGTCACTGTTGAAGTCAGAGGAGACGACCTGGTGCTTGGTGTAACCCAGGATGCCCTTGAGGGGGCTCTCTGATGCCTCCTTCACCACCTTTTTGATGTCATTGTATTTGGCAGCCTTCTCCAGACGGCCGGTGAGATCCACGACCGACACGTTGGCAGTGGGGACACGGAAAGCCATGCCAGTAAGCTTCCCATTCAGCTCAGGGATGACCTTGCCCACAGCCTTGGCTGCATCAGTTGAGGCAGGGATGATGTTCTGGACAGTCCCGCAACCATCACGCCACAACTTCCCAGAGGGGCTATCCACAGTCTTCTGGGTGGCAGTGATGGCATGGACTGTGGTCATGAGTCCCTCCACAATGCCAAAGTTGTCATGGATGACCTTAGCCAAGAGGGCTAAGCAGTTGGTGGTGCAGGAGGCATTGCTGACAATGCTGAGGCTGTTTTCGTACTTCTCGTGGTTCACACCCATCACAAACATGGGAGCATCAGCAGAAGGGGCAGAGATGATGACCCTTTTGTCACCCCCCTGTAGGTGAGCCCCAGCCTTCTCCATGGTGGTGAAGACGCAGTGGACTCCACAACATACTCAGCGCCTGCCTCACCCCATTTGATTTTGGTGGGATCTCCCTCCTGGAAGATTGTTATGGGATTTCCATTGATGACAAGCTTCCCATTCTCAGCCTTGACTGTGCGATGGAATTTGTCATGGGTGGAATCATACTAGAACATGTAGACCATGTAGTTGAGGTCAATGAAGGGGTCATTGATGGCGACAATATCCACTTTGCCAGAGTTAAAAGCAGCCCTGCAGACCAGGCCCCCAATCCGACCAAAGCCGTTTATTCCGACCTTCGGTTTCACCATAGTGCCTTGGGGATGCGGCTGGCGCTGCACTAGAAGTGGCTGTCTGATGAACGGGAAGACCAGAGAGCCCTGGTGCCTGTTCTAAGTGGAAAAACTTGTCAGTTTTACTCCATTCAGTATGATATTAGCTGTGGTTGCCCCCTAGATGGCTTCAATTATTTTAAGATATGTGCCACCTATATCTATATTCTTAAGTGTTCTTTTTAGGAAAGGATGCTGGATTTTTATCATGCCTTTTCTGCATCTATTGAGAGGATCATATGGTCTTTGTTTTTGCTTCTATTGATCTGGTGAATTACATTTATGGATTTGCATATGTTAAACCAGCCTTGTATCCCTGGGATAAAGCCTACTTGATCATGATGTATAACATTTTTAATGTGTAGCTGAAATCTATTGGCTAAGATTTTATTGAGTATTTTTGCATCAATATTGATTAATGAAATTAGTCTGTAGTTCTCCTTTTAAGTTGAGTCCTTCTCTGGTTTTGACATCAGGGTGTTTTGGATTTGTAGAATGTGTTGGGGAAGGTTCCATCGTTTTCATTGTTTTAGGATTAGTTATGTAGCAAAGGTATAAGCTCATCTTTGAAGGTTTGATAGTGTTCTGATGTGAACCCATCTGGTCCAGGGATTTATTTTTGTTGAAATAATTTTCTTTATTGTTTCTTTTATCTTAGTGCTTGATATTGGTCTGTTAAAGAGATATGTTTCTTACTGGTTAAGTCTAGGGAGATGGTATGACTTCAAGTATTGGTCCATTTCATCCACATTGCCAAATTTCTGGGCATAGAGTTTGTTGTAGTCAGAAGTAATCTCTTGTATTTCTGTGGTATCTGTTGTTATTTCCTCTTTTTCATTTCTGATTGAGGTTATTAGAGATTTTACTTTTCTGTTTCTAGTTAATCTGGTCAAAGGTTTTTAACAATTTTATTTATTTTTTTGAAGAGCCAACCTTTTTGTTTCATTAATTTTCTGAATGATACTTTTGTTTTCAATTTGATTTATCTCTGATTTAATTTTGGTTATGTCTTTTCTTATGCTGGGTTTGGGATTAGATTGCTTTTCTTCTTCCATTTCCTTAAGATGATTCATTAGGTTGTTAATATGTTCACTCTCTGTTTTTTGAATATAGGTTATCTAATGTGATAAATTTCCCTTTTATGACTTCTTTTGAACCTGTACCCCACAGGTTTTGGTACCTTGCGTCTTCATTGTTGTGTTTGAGAAATTTAATAATTTCCTCCTTTATCTCTTCTTTAACTCAGCTGTCATTCAGCATAAGGTTGTTCCTTTCCCATGCTTTTGTATGGGGATTTTTGTTAAGGTTAAGTTCCACTTTTACTGCCTTGTGGTCTGAGATTAAAAGGTGTAATTTCAATTCTTTTATTTTTTAATTTTATTCATGACCTAGGGAATGATCCATTTTGGAGTATGGTCCAAGGGCTGATGAGAAGAACATGTATTCCTTAGCTTTGGGACAGCATGTTCTGTATATGTCTATTAAGCCTATTTGTTCTAGGGTTGCATTTAAGTCCCTTGTATTTTTGTTTAATTTCTGTTTAGAAGATCTGCCCATTCAACTAGAGGGGTGTTAAAGTCCTCAGCTATTATGGTGCTATAGGATATCATCTTGCTCAGACCAATCAATGTCAGTTTTATAAATCCTAGAGCATTTAAGTTGGTTGCATAAATATTTAGAATTGACATGTTCTCTTGATGTTCCGTTGACTGTATGAAGTGACCATATTTGCCTTTCTTAAGATTAGTTGCTTTAAATCCACATGTCTCTAAAAATGAGATTACAGCCCCTCCCTCCTTTCTTCTGGTTTCCATTTGCATAAAATATTGTTTTCCAACCCTTTACCCTGAGTCTTGTTTTGTCTTTCAAGGAGACAGCATGCGGATGGCTTGTTCTTTTTTATCCAATCTGCTGGGCTGTGCCTCTTTAATGGGGGGAATCCAAGCCATTACTTTTTAGTCAGAGAATTGATAAATGTGGTGGAGTTCTATTCATCTTGTTTTGTGAAGGTCCATTGCTTAGTTTTATCCTTTGCATCATTGTAGAAGCCAGGTTTTGTCCTTTAGTTTGTGGGTGTCTACTTTGCTGGTACTCTATTGGGATGTTCAGTGTGGAGAATAGGTCTAAGTATTTCCTGCAGAGTTGGTCTGCTGTGGCAAATTTCTTCAATGTTTGCATATCAGTAAAAGATTTATTTCTCCATCACTTTTGAAGCTTAGTTTAGCAGGATACAGAATTATGGGCTGAAAATCCTTTTGTCTAAGAAGGTTAAAGGTAGGTGACCTTTTCTTCTGGCTTGGAATGTTTCATCTGTCACCCTGGGTCAATTGGTGCTTGCTTCTGGCCGTTTGCAGAATTTTCTCTTTCATCTTGACTTTGGACAAGTTCATTACAATGTATCTTGGACATGCTCTATTTGTGTTGCGATGACCCAGAGTTGACTATTCCTCTAAAAGGAGTATTTTGGAATCTTTTGTGGTACTTAGGAAGTTTTCATTTATCATATTCTCCAGTAGGGCTTCTATTCCTTTGGTATGTTCCTCTTCCCCTTCAGGAATACCTATAATTGATATGTTTGGACTATTTATGAAGTTCTATAATTCTCTGAGTGAATATTTTATTTTTTCTCTCTTCTTTTCTGCCTCTTTAACTGCCTGGCTTAGCTCAACAGCTTTATCCTCTAGCTCTTTCTTTCTTCTCCATGGTCTAATTTGTTATCAATACTTTGTACTGCATCTTTAAGTTTCTCGACTCCTTTAAGTCCTTAAGCCCCACCATATCCTTTCTATATTATTCACATCTTTCATCTATTTTTAGGTTCTGTTTTTCTGCTTTCTAATTCTCTTTATTGTTTTGTCATCCACATTTTTAAATTCCCTTCTGTCATTTCCATTAATTCCTCGTGGGTGGAATATTCTGTGGTAGCTGCTTCACGATCCCTTGGGGGATTTGCTCTATTCTGGTTTTACATATTGCCACAATTTTTCTGTTGATTCTTCCTCATGTATGTTTTCTTCTTGTTTACTCCCTTCTCTTACTTCTTCCTTCTTACTCTATACTTTGCTTTAAATTACCTTATCTCTGAGCTTAGGTGTTGAAGTCTTTTGCTATAAAGCCAAAAGGAAGATAAGGGTAAACAGTGAGAATGGAGAAAGAACTGAAAAAGGAAAGAACTAAAGAAAAGAGAGAAAAAGAGTGACAGGAGAAATGCTTCTGTTTTGTGGCATGCTTTAACCAGACCCACTGCTCTAGGACCTTGGGGGCCAGGCTGGGTGGTCATTCTAAGTCAGGAGCTCCTTGCCAGCTTGAGTGAAAGCAAGACCTCACTTCTTCCAAATATAGAAAGAAATAAGCAGTATGTCACAGTAGGGACCTATCAATACCTTCTTTTCAAAGGCCAAAGCTAGGGGTGGTGCCTGTGGCTCAAAGAATAGGGCACCGGCCTCAGGTACCAGAAGTAGTAGGTTCAAACCCAGCCTCAGCCAAAAACTGCAAAAACAACAAAGAAACAAAAAGACAAAGGCTGAAGCTAGAAGGATATTTAAGACCATGTGCTTGTGGCCTCCTTGTGCCAGACCAATGCCATGAACCCCCAGCCTGAGCAAGATGATATGACCCACCAGCCATCAGAGAAGAGAAAAAAAATGAAAACAATGAATAAAAAATTGAAAATATAATTTCATGAGATAAAGAAGAAAAGCTTAGCTGTTGCATGAGAAATTTATGTGGGAAAGATGAGAAAAGTAGAAAAATCTTTACCAAGGGAGAGAAATATAAAATAATGAATAAAGGGGGCTGAAAGACTATTACAAAAATGGAAGAGCCCTTACTATTGCAAAAAGCAAAAGTGACACAATAAAAATACAACCCAATCAAAAAAAAAAAAAAAACTAAACAAAAAGAACTACAACAATAGAATAAAAAATAAAAGAAAAAACTAAAGAAAAATTGAAA